TATCTATCTAACATGCATATTCATTAAACTGTAACAGAGAAGCAGCTTACCAAAATAAAAGCGTCTCAAAAAGATCCCTTTGGTGTAACGATTGTGTGAGTCTTTTAAACACTCAGATTCAGACTCAAGTAATCATAACATTAAATTAACTCCTCAGATAATCCCATCAGCCTGCTTTTACTTTGAAAGGCCACTTCTGTTTTACAGCTGTCTTTCCTAAAATACACCACACTTGTTAGATTCAGCTCTATATTTAGACTTTGCTTCAATTTGTAATAATACTGTTTAGATTACAAATTTTGACATGAAAATATAATTTATATATCAAGCAGAGAAAATATGTCTAAACATTTCAAATCCACGTTTAGTTTTAGGAGTTACATCTGACAAAATCACTGCACAGCTGTGAAGAATCCAGTGCAACAGAAGTGTCAATGAACCATTTAAAAATGCTGAAATCCCGTGTTTCAGAAGTTTACCAGGACTTTATGAATCAGAAAACATTTGCTGCTGCTTTTAACCAGAATTGATGCACAGGAAGTTTATGTATTTCATTAAGTTTAGGTCAAAACTTTGTCTTTTGTGAACCTCAGGACTGTGAAGCTTTTGAGAAGTGCTGCCCTAATGTTTGTGGCAAAAAGAGTTGTGTCGCGGCACGCTACATCGACATCAAGGGCAACAAGGGTCCGATTGGGATGCCAAAGGGCGCCACCTGCGACAAGTTCATGTGTGCTCAGCAGGGCTCCGAGTGCGACATCTGGGACGGCCAGCCTGTCTGTAAGTGCAGAGACCGCTGTGAGAGAGAGCCCCACTTCACGTGCGCTTCTGACGGCATGACTTATTATAACAAGTGCTACATGGATGCAGAGGCCTGTTCCAAGGGTGTCTCAATCTCTGAGGTCACCTGCAGGTAACATGTTAAGTATTTTAGATTTTGTTTCTTTGGTTTAATGAGGTAAAGTTCTTACAATTTTCTGACCAGAGCTTTTAAATGGATGCATTCTGTGTGGCGTTTGATATTAAAGTGATAGTTCAAATGTTTGAACAGTCGCTATTTTACCTGTTGTAGAAAGCTCTTCGAACAACTGCAATTTGGTGGAATAGAGATGTGGTTTGCAGTGTTGTGCCCGAGCGCGTTCATTGAACGATCGTTAGTGAATTTGTTGTTTTTTTCGTGAACGTGAACTGAACTCGTTCGTATTTTGCCTGACGAACATACAAGTGAGTGCGTTCGTCGGTTGGTGAGAAACGTTACAACTAGGAACAAAGTTTTGAATGAGCAAGAGGGTTAACGTTAGGCGTTGCTTCAACAGTGTGATACCCTCACGAGGAACGAGCAAAATATCAAACATGCCAGAAATTCATGCAAGCTTGCAATTGCTAATCAGTAGCTGGTCACGTGGTGTTAATCGCCTTTTGTAACCCCCTGTATACTACATGATGCTCAGTGCAAAACTCGCGATCTTGTAGATTCTTGCACAAGGGAAAAATCGGCTCAAAAAATTGAAAAAGTCGTACAGTGTACTCCCGGCTTCATCCTACTCAAAACTTCTCAATTACTTCTCAGTTTAGTTTCAGTGAGTCATAGATGTAAAGAACAAGGCAACTTTGAAAGGGTTAGTGACCAAATTATGAACAAAGTAAGGTTAGGTTGCAAACAAATTGGAACAAAATTCAGACACTTTGGTGACTAAATTGCGACAGTTAACAAGATTGACAATTTTTTTTTATAGTTATGTCATCTGACCCAATATAACCTAAAAAATTCATAAAAAAAAATTAAATGAATGTGAACTGCAGGACCACCGGATTTTATCTAAATAACCACTAATCCAGATAAGATGCTGTAAATAGGTGAGTCTTTCGCATAGCCTTGAAGATCTCAATAGAGGCAGCCTGCCTAACATCCAAAGGAAGCGCATTTCAGAGAAGTGGTGCATGATAAGCAAAAGCACCTCCACTAATTGTCTTGCGCTTTATTGACGAAACAGATAGGAGCCCCACAGTACACGAGCGAAATGGCCTATCTGGAGCATTTTGCTTCAGAAGTTCAACGACAAAGAGCGGCGCATGATTGCTTAGTTCTTAATAAGTGAACAGTAATCACGTTTTTTCTTCCTTGCAAGGGTACGAGCTGCAGTATTCTGGGTCAGTTAAAGGCCGTGGATATTCTTTTGTGGCAGGGCTGATAAGAGATCATTACAGTAATCTATGCGTGACGTGACAAATGCTCGTAAAAGGATTTCCGCATCATAGTAAGACAGAACCACGCACAATTTAGCAATTCATCGCAAATGGAACAAAGCAAATTAGCTATAGTCCAGCTTGCTGTCAAATCTTTTTTTCACTAAACTCAAATTGTTCAGTAAATTTTTACAAATTTCCCACAGAATCCCACTTAAAACCACTCTGAACTATCCCGTTTAACTGGCACTGATTTCCTGCCTCATTTGATCTACCAACAGGTATCACCTGTCCTGGCCAAACACCAGTCCAATCCCCATGGAGACCACCTTACATCCCACCACCGCCCTACAGACCACCATCCCAACTGACATTCAGCTACCTGCCATTCATAGCGGACCCACCAGACAGACAGTTTTTGATGGTGAGACAGCCAGTTTCTTGTGTGAGGTGTCTGGAAAGCCTCAACCAGAGATCACCTGGGAGAAACAGCTTAAAGGCAAAGACAACATAATAATGAGACCCAATCATGTGCGAGGAAATGTTGTGGTGACCAACATCGGCCAGTTAGTTATATACAATGCCCAACTTCAGGATGCAGGAATCTATACGTGCACGGCCAAAAACGTTGGAGGGAGTGTGTCGTTACACTTTCCCCTGGTGGTGATCAAGAGAGAGCAGGAGGGTAAAAAGGCTGAAGGGAACGATACCAACCTGCCTTTCCCAACCGCTGAGTGCCTCAAGAGTCCCGACACAGACGACTGTGGAGAAGAAAGCATTAGCTGGTACTATGAACCAAAACGGAATAACTGTTTTACCTTCACGTACAGCCAGTGTAACAAAAACCAAAACCATTTTGACATCTATGAAGCATGCATGCTGTCATGTGGAGGTGAGTTGGCGGCTCCCTGCAGCCTACCAAGTCTACAAGGCCCTTGCAAAGCCTACGAGCCCCGTTGGGCGTACAGCAGCGGCCTCAAAAAGTGCCAGTCATTTGTGTATGGAGGCTGCGGTGGCAACGAGAACAACTTTGAGTCCAAAGAGGCCTGTGAAGAGATGTGTCCCTTTCCGAAGAACCACAACTGCAAGGTGTGCAAACCCAGAAGCAAGATGGTCCCCAGCTTCTGCAAGAGTGACTTTGTGATCCTCGGGCGGGTGACTGAGCTGACGGAAGAGCAGGAGTCTGGCCACGCTCTGGTGACCGTAGAGGAAATCTTGAAGGATGAGAAGATGGGTCTGAGGTTCTTCGGGAAGGAGCCACTGGAAGTAACTCTTCTGAACATGGACTGGAACTGCCCCTGCCCTAACATCACCATAGCCGATGGACAGCTCATCATCATGGGGGACGTCCACAACGGGATGGCTGTCCTGCAGCCTGACAGCTTCGTAGGCTCCTCTAGTGCTCGCCGAATCAGGAAGTTGCGTGAAGTTATCCAGAAGAAAACCTGCGATTTTCTCAAAGATTTCTCCGCAGCTCAGTAATGCATCACAGCTCCAGTGACCTCACCAGCAGGAAACACACCATTCAAGTCTCTAATGTTATACTATGCTGCATTATTCACCCATATATATAATTTACTCTTCTTTCCTATCTCAAACTTTGAAAAACATTTAATATTTTTCTCTCTTAATTTTTTATGAACTAACATGTTTTTTTAGGTGTGTTTGATGTGATTACTGTATGTGTTTGATGTTCTGATCTCACAGTTGTGTTACAGGAAAACAATGCAAAGCCTCAGTTTCTCACCAGAATCAAATAAGCTCTTTCGGTTCCATTTTTTATGGAAACCGTTTTCATTTACAACACTGAACATGCACGGGAACTCATGCTTGTCATATTTATTTTTCTCATTCTTAGGACCAAGTGGACTTCATCAGAATGTGCATCTGTGGATTTAATTACCTGCATTTATTTTTTATCCAAGTTATTTTAGATTAGTTGATGAATAAAGGTGATTCGTGATGGATATCCTGAGCTACATTTTTTTCTTTTGCTGAATGATAAAAAAACAACAACAATGTGATTGTTGGAGCATGCCTACTTGACATCCTTCCATCCATGTCCTTCTTCGCACACATTGACACACACACACACACACACACAGAGAGCCTCGTCTGGCACTAACGTCTGAAACAGGTCACATTCCAGCCCAGCTGTGGTGGCCCGCAGAGCTGAGTGTGTTGTGTCTGGGTCTGGGGCCCTCACATAGTACACACCCCACCGGTCAGCCGTCCGCGTAGCACGGCCCCTTTCATGTGCGAGAGGCCAGGGTGAAAGGGGATGAGGAGAGGGACACTGGCCCGTTCCCGTCCTTTCTTTCACTCTGCTGGCCACATCTGTGTTTAGGAGACATAATAGAAAACAGAGAGAGGACAGGAAGGGGAGTGACGAGTTCAACACTAGTAACCCATGAGTTGTGCAAGTCTGTTTGGAGTTTATTTCCATCAGTGCACTTTGGGATCAATTTCTATATCATAAGATTTTGAAGAAATTTGTGAGTTTCATAGATCTAAAATGCCTGACCTCAGACCCCACTAATGAAAAAGGGGCCACCAAGGAAAAGGTCCCTTTCATTACAGCTGCTGACAAGTGTTAAGTAACTGGCAGCGCTCCAGACTCCAATCGTGGTCCTCATCTCACAGCCGGCTGCTAATTTCAGTATCAAGTTCATTCAGAGATCAGCAGCCTGCCAGACAGATCACAATTAAAGCAGAAAACACATGGGTCTAGTTTATTCTCTTTTATTAGAAAATGTGCTCAAGAATCAACATAATCCGTGATTTTAATCCAGTCATCTTCATTTAGATTAAAAATATATAAAATTCATAAATGTTTTCATATTCCTTTGTGAAAATCTGCAAGAATTTTCAAGTAAATGTTGACTTTCAATAAGAAAGAAAGAAAGAAAGAAAGAAAGAAAGAAAGAAAGAAAGAAAAAGAAAGAAAGAAAGAAGCCTTGCCGCTCAAGGCTAACAGGGCATCAGATTCAGATAACAAGAATTTGTTTGGGTCAGGCCGAGATAATTTTCCTCTCTGCCTTCAGTCTTTAAACTGATCATTCCAGTCCTTCAGTGAAGCCAATTTTGGGATTTTAAACTGCTCCATGCCGTCCGGTGACTCTCTCCAAGATGACATCCATTTTGCGCACTGATACCGGTATCGCAGCTAGAACATTGTCCAGCTTACAATTCACCTCGAGTAACGTCCAAGTCTGAGAAGTCTCCACATGGACGGTGCTTTCCATGGGTGCGGGTCGCCATCCAATCGCTCCCGTCTTCCCAAATTTCCAGAAAACCAGATATCCTCCCACTCCAATCAGGAGAAATCCAGTGATCATCAGGCCGAATATCCACACGTCTTCGATATCCTTAATGGACAGCTGGCTGAGGCATATGATCTTCCACTCCTTCCAGGAATCCAGCATATATCCCACCGGGTGTGTCCCCTGTGGGCAGGTGGGAGCCCCCTGCTCCGTTCTCATTGTTGAAAAAATCTTATCAATCGCATTGAATGACAAATCCATGGTTAGTAAAAATAGAGTTTTTCAGAAGAAATGCAGAGAAGCGCTCTGTGGGCAGACAGGACAAAGAGCCTTGGGGAAAAAAAAGAGAAAAGGGAGCAAAAGAGAGAAGCGTCTGTACTCCCCGAGTGCCAGAAGAAAATGAATGGCTTTGTTGCAACTTTTACCATTAAGCGTCTGAGAACTGTGTAGCGTAGTGGCAGTGGATGTAAAGAAAACCTCCAGCTGGGCCCCAAGAAGTTATGGACACACATCCAGATCTGATCAGCCTGTGGTTGACCTAGGCATGACATCAGTAGAGGGTGTCTTGTGAGTTAAAGGCCAAAACACCTGATGAGTAAGAGGAACCTGACTTAGATTAGAGCAGACATGTCCAAGGGAGCAATTTACGGCTCTTGGGTGCTTTTGTTTGACCCCACAAGCATTTCTAGCATGGTAGATTTTTTTGTGGCCAACAGATACTTTAAAAGGGATCATTTTGTATCTCTCCTTTCAAGGTTTGGATGCTAGGGCATAGGAACGAGTTTAATATTGGGGGGAACACATTTAGGAAATCTAACAAATCTGTCACAGGTCAATAGGTCAATACATAGGTCAACCTCACTGAAAAAAAACATTTAATGATTATTTCTGATTCTAATGGGTCACTCTGAGTTTTTCATGCAGCCTGAACATGAAAATAGTCTCCTACATCTATCTCCTGTAGCTTCAGATAGAAAAAAGACGGCGAACCTCTAGGATATGAAAAGCCTGACAGATGTGACTCAGGGCGTAAGGCAAGGCCCAGAAAGACAAGAAAATAACTTTTATAGCCCAGTTCACTAACATTATTTTTTTGTTTTGTTTTTGATCGGGGACCCATGAGCCAACCAGAATGGGAGGAGACATAGGCTCCCCATTAGCCAGATCCAGGTTTGATTACCGGCCAACGTGGATGTTTTATTAAAAAAAGCTGTTTTTGTGTCAGTACAGTTTTATTTTTATTTAATAATATGAATGTAGGATATATTATTTTATACATAAGGGTAGAGATGTGTAAACAGATTTAATACAAGACTAAAGCTGTGAATATTCAGTCTGAATTGATCTGACTCTCATCAGAATATTTTAAACCACATCAGCCAACAATGCTGACCTACAATCAGAAAAATCTGTTTGCTTCTGACAGAATGAAAAAAGAAATAATTCACTCACAACAACAGCTGTAACTACATTATTATTCAGACGGCCAAAATTGCAGTCTAAAAGCACCAGAATGCAGAGTTTAACACTTATTTTTCTAATATTTCTAAGGAAGCATGTACAAGATTTATTTTATTCTTAAGCCGTACCGCCCAGCCCTGCTTGTTATGGGATTAAATACATTTAACTGTGTTCACCTATTATCACATTCAAATCTTCCTCTCATCATCAGCCTCCTAAAATCATCTCACTCTTCACTGTAGCACCTACCTGCAGGTCTGGCTCTGCCTGTCTCACCCTCAGCAGGTTCCTGCTGAACTTCCTCTGATCTCTTTATATGAAAAAAGTGGCACGATTACGGTTTAAAAATTAAAATGTGATGAGAATGTCACAAGCAAACAACCATCACACTTACAAACTCCATTTTTATGTGGAGATTCAACTTTTTTTATTTATTTCGTGTCAAATGGTTTTTGTCTGTTACTGTCAACTGCCCATTTTTTGTTGAGTAGCTGTGTTGTTTAATGTTGCCTAGCACGATGTTTATGTAAGGCCTAGTCCACACGTAGCCGGGGTTTTTTAAAAACGAATATCCGCCCCTCCAAAAACTTGCATCCACACCACCGCGTTTAAAAAAACTCTGTCCACACATACCCAGATAAATACGTTGTTAAGGACATGCCAGACCTGTAGGCGGCAGTACTTCCCCCGTTCTTAACCTCGTCCTTCGTCTGTGGTCTTCCGCAAGGAGCAGTAATTCCGCTTGCAAAAACAAACAAGCAAAAAGCGCTTGGACAATTGATGGATCGGGTAGTGACAGAGCGCAGCTCTGAGGGCTTCCATGCTGTCGGCTAGTGTAAACACAGGTCGCACACGTGATGTCAGCATTTTTTTGTCGCGGAAAGTGACGCTGCGGACCTTAAAACTCTGGTTTTGTCCGTCCACACGCACACACCCAAAATGGAGAAAACGCAGATCTTCACTTTGGCCGGAGGTTTTAAAAAGATCCGTTTTCGTGTGAAAAAACTCCGTTTTCGTGTGGATGACAGGCCAAAACATAGAAGAATATCTACGTTTTGGCAGATTCCCGGCTACGTGTGGACAGGGCCTTAGTCAACCAGTTTAACTTTTGACCAAAAATACACTTATCCTCTTGGGCAAAATTGTTACCAACTCACATTTCTTTTCTTTCTTTCTTTCTTTCTTTGTTGGTGACTTACTTTTTGCCTGGGCAGTGTATTTCTGTCAGTGTGGGGAAGAAAATAAAAGATCAGTGTCATGTTATTATGAGAAAGCTTCTCTTTATAAACCTGATGATCCTTTATCTTTTTCCCCCACACTGATGGTAATATGATTCTGCACATGCGACACTGTTTGTCCTGGAATTCTTTTTAAGGAGGGGTCACCATGTCTCACAACTGCAAAGTTGATTCTGAACATGAAGATGTAATTTAAATCTTAAATCTTCAGAGAAAACTGATCATGGCTTTTGGACGAAAAGACAGAAAATAAAAGATTGATTATTTGGGTTTGCTTCCTTCAGTTTGAAAGACCAGATACTCAATACTATTGAACACTATTCATCTAAAGTAGCCCTGGTGCTTTTAGGCATGCAGATCAGAACCAAGAGAAATAAAAGGTTTCATGGAGTTCAGTAATCAGTGTTGTAGTGTGTTTTATGTCCACTGCATGGCAGCACAGTTCAGCACATAATCTAGAAAAGTCCTTCTTGTAAGTATCTGACCATCTAGACATGTATGTGTGTCTAGATGGTCAGATATATTAATAATAATAATTATATATATATATATATATATACAGTATATATATATATATCTTATATATATATATATATATATATATATATATATATATATATATATATGTATATACACACACACACAGTACAGGCTAAATGACTAATCAAATCTAGTAGCTGTACAGAATCTGATGCTGATTTCTGAAGCACACACACACACACACACACACACACACACACACACACACACACACACACACACACACACACACACACACACACACACACACACACACACACACTCAGAAGTCACACAAACTGTCACTTGCCTTTTGAATTAATCTATGAATCTTCCAGCAGTCAGCCAGATGGTCTGCTAGATTATGCTTAGTGCAGTGAATATAGAATTCTATTACTGAATGCACTTATACGCACACACACACACACACACACACACACACACACACACACACACACACACACACACACACACACACACACACAC